GTTCTGCTTAGAAATGAGTAAATAAGAAGGGAATGGTTTGTGGTGGTGGGTTGATGTCCAGGGTGCCGTCCGGAGCACCAAGGCATGCTGTGGTCAGCATACAGGTTCTAGACTAGCCTACTGGACTCTCCTGCTTACCACTCGGGTGAAGGACCTGCCACTCTTTATCCCACGATTTGGGGTGTGCTCAGGATGCAAAACATTTTTTTTTTTTAATTTGTAGATGGACACAATACCTTCATCTTATTTATTTTTATGCAGTGCTGAGGATCAAACCCCAGCCCCAGGATGCATAACTTTGGAAAAAAAGATTTTCCTTTTTCCAGTGCTGAGGATAGAACCCAGGGCCTTTTGTGTGCTGGGAGCACTCTGCCAATGAGCTACTTCAGAACCATGAACATAGCTTGTATGTAAAGTTAACCCTGAGTTGATTTTTGTTCATCTTGATTTAAAAATCTATGACAATCTAAAGAATAAAATCCACTGAGACCACAACAAAAGTAGTCACGTCCTAAAATAATGAATGTGTATCCCAGACGTGCCCTGTGCTTCCGGGTCTGGCTGCCAGCTTTGCCAGTTCATTATTTTAAATTAGTGCTGTACTCTTCCAAATATAGTTGGTTTTTAATGGTCTCGGATGTGATGACATGACTTAAGTATAAACAGGCTACTAGGGTGATACATCCCTACACTTAGGGCCAGTGGTCTCTTGTCTTGGTGATTTTTGGGGGGGAAATGATTACAGAAACATCAGTCACTTGTGCTTATGAATGTTTTATAATGCAAATTGAATGTGATGAAATATTAAAAATACCATTCATTAAATATTGAAAAGTTCAGTCTCTGGAACTGGCCAGATCTATTCATTGTTCTGCTAGCTTAAAGGAGCAATTTAGAAATTTTGAATTATAAAATTAGAATGCTGGGAAAGATAAAAGAGCTGGGACTATAGCTATGAAGTTACTTCCCCTGAACCCACAGCCATTTTAGGCTGTAGGCCTTTCCTTAAGACAGCAGGTCACAGTTCTGTCCCTGCAGGCCTCCAGCAGGTTTCTCTGCCTAGTGTCTTCAATTCCCAGTGGGTTAATAAAGGCAATAAATTCATTTAGTTTTTCAGGAGTTTTATGGACTCAAATACCGGAATGATTCATTAGTCTTATTATCCTGCTTGTGATTTTATTAAAATATTAAAAGTATTAAAACAGATTGTAATCATGTATTGTTATTAATGGCAAATCAAACTGTTTTAAAGTGAGAGATGGATGATAAACAATGCAGCGTTTGGAGAATGCTCATACTGTTTAAATTCAATTTTTTTCGGTGTAGTTCCAGGGGCTTTACCACTGAGCCACATCCCTAGCCCTTTTTGTTTTTATTTTGAAGCAAAGTCCTGCTAAGTTGCTGAGGCTGGCCTTTATTCAGAGGAGTAGCCCTCCTGCCTTAGCCTCCAAGTTGCTGGGATCATAGATGTGCACCACTGCGCCCAGCCACACTCGTAGTTTTTTTTTTTTTTTTAACATTTATTTATTTAAGTTTTCGGTGGACACAACATCTTTGTTTGTATGTGGTGCTGAGGATCGAACCCGGGCCGCACGCATGCCAGGCGAGCACGCTACCGCTTGAGCCACATCCCCAGCCCCACACTCGTAGTTTACGATGATCTGTTTCCCTATGCTGGCTACTGCAGGCGAGTCTCAGCCTATGTGCGTCACAGCACAGTTCACTTATGAAGAGGCCTGGAGAGGATGCTGAGGCCCAGCAGAGGTGAGGCGTCCAACCCAGTGCAGAGTGGAGCTGCACTGTGCTCGCACGGACTCTCTGGGACTGAAGGCTGCTGTGAGGCCAGTTCCGGAGCTGTGGTACATCATGGAGGAGGGCTGTAGTGCTGCCAGGTTCTCCTCGCCAGATCCCCGTTCCAGGAGCACCTCATGGGAGGGACAGGACAAGTCTCAAAGACATTTTGAATTTGGTCTCTGTCATCTGGGTTGAATCTCATATTGAGTCCCCCGTAATTGAACCAGAGTAGCCTTTCCCAGAAGCTCTCTTTTGACCTCTTTGGTTCTTGTGCTGCTTCTGGATTTCCCAGCTTCCTTGTTTAGAGCACCCCTTCCAGAAGCCAGGGGCACCCTCCCGTGCTAAACCCCAAGTCGAACCAGCTCCCAGCTCCAGAGCCGTCTTCTCATCTTCTCTGCGGGAGAGTCCAGAGCAGGACAGCTGGTTTCATTTGTACCCCACGAGGCTCCTTGTCTGTCCCTCTCTGCACCAGTAGGGCCTCAGCAAGTTGGTGCTCAGCACAGTGCCAGGGTATTGGAACGAGCAGCACAGAAGGCCATGCCCTCACAGGGTCTGGTGGGCTAGGACCGCAGCCTCCTCCACCTGTCCTGAGTGCCGGGCTGTCCTGAGCACTGGGTGCGTTGACTGTCACCTTCCAGAGTCATTGTCCTATTTTACAAATAAGGATCCCGAGGCCCACATGTGCAGGTTGGGCAGGGCCCAGGCAGGGTTCACCCAGGTGGCTGGGTTCCAGGGGTCCATCTTCTCCCTGCTTGGGGCACAGATGGAGGGAGGGAGATGTGAGCTGCTGCAGGGAGCTGGAAGAGGCCGTGCACCAAAACCAAAGTGAGGCACTGGGGCGGAGTCCATCTTCTCCCCTCCTCCCGAATGTGCAATGGAGTGCTGCAGGGGCAGCGTGGGGCAGGATGCATGTCCGAGTAGATGGGAGCCCAGCTGGCTCTGTAAGCCAGATGGCAAGAAGGTTTGCAGAAACGTACGACATGCTGCTTTTCTTGGTGAACATTGTTTTTAAAAGTATGCTTATTACTGGGTGTGGTGGCACATGGCTGTAATCCCAGTGACTGGGAAAGCTGGGGCAGGAGGATCAAAAATTTGAGGCCATCCTCAGTAGTATAGTAAGATTCTCAAAAAGGGCTGGGGATATAGCTCCCTGGTAAAGCACCTGGGATCAATCTCTAGTATTTAAAAAAAAAAAGTTATCATCATAAAAATATTATGTTAAAAATAATTTTTTTTTTTTTTTTTAAGAACGGATAAATATTTTTTCCTGGTTTTAATTTCCAATACAGTGAAGTTGATAGATGGACAGGCACGGACATCACAGAGGCCGTCCATGATTTTTGTTGTTAGTGGGCTTAGAAACTACAAGGGTTGAGAACCACCACTGTGGAGGAGTCCCGATGGCCTCCCCGCCCCGTGGAGGAGTGACGGTGGGTGGAGGTGGGGAGAGGGTTACTGGACTGCTGACAGCCGAGGTGAGCATAGAGGTGACAGGACATTGCTTTATCCTGGATTATTCACGTGTGTGGATTTTTTTAAATTGTGGCAAAATATACGTAACATAAAGTTTCCTATCGTTCCCATTTTGGAGCCTAGTTCAGGAGTGCCAAATTCATTTTGCAGCCTCTAAGGCTGTTCATGTTGCAAAAGTACAACATCTCCGTGCTCTCCAGACCCACTCCAGGGATTGGCCTTGTTTTGAAAGCGGAGGCCGGAGGATTTGCTGTGGGCTGGGTGTGCTGTGCAGGTGTATCTGGTGCCAGTATCTTCTGTTGGTGAGCAGGCGGCTTTGTTCTGGTCTCTTCCCTTGCACACACAGGCCCCCACGTGCCTGCTCACTCCAGACTCTTCAGCTATCTGAGGAAAGGATAGGCAAGGCCCAGGGGCTCCTGTCACTGCACAAGTCACTGCACAGCAGTGGAGAAGCACATTGCTTAACAACAGGGCAGGTCAGGCGGTCCCAGCTTTGTGTGGGCCTCACAGAGTGTGTGTACACAAACCAAGAGGGCTGCAAAGCCACCAGATGGTACAGTCTCATGGGACCTCCGTCACATATTTGGTTTCTTGAAATGTCACCAGTGTGGTGTATGACTGTAGTATCACATGGTGACTTTGGATGCTCCTGGGTTGATTTGCACCTGCAGAAAAGAATTCAAAGGATTCATTTGGCCAATAGACTGGGCTCGAAATCAAGTCCTCACACTTTTCCGATGAGCTTCAATGACATGGGCCCTAGTTAGTCGTTTGGTGGGGGGGCCTTGGCACTTCTGAGGTAGAAAGGAGAGGAAAAGGAGCCACACTGTGCGGGAGTCACAAGAACCTGGGCACAGCCAGCTCAGGGGACCCAGTGGCCAGAACCTGGAGGAAGTCCTGCACAGACCCTGAGCCCACCCCAGGCAAAGCAAAGCACACAAGAGCCGAAGAGATAGTGGCCGAGCAGAGGCCAGAACAGCAGCTCCAGCGCCTGTCCAGAAGGAGATCCACCCCTTGTGAGGAGGGCAGTCCTGGTTTACAGAGGAGGAAATCCGGATTGAGAGGCTCTTTGCTGTGCTCAAGGTCACCTGGCTCATAAAAGGGCGCCAGAATCTGACCCCAAGTTGGTGATGCTCAAGTGCAATTATTCTTAAACACTCTTTTTTTTTTATATTTTTTTTAAAAGAAATTTTGCATTTAGTTTTATTTTAATATATTTGTAATTTTATATTAATCAGTATTTTTCAGCTTTTGCATTTTTTTTGTAATGAAGATTTAAAATGACATGGCAGTAATTAAGCAATGGTGATGTAAAGAAGAGCATTGTTCTTTGTAAACACCTGTGACTGGCTAAAAACAAGTAGTTTGAGTTTGTAGCCACTGATCCTTTTTTTCATCTTAATTTCTAGAGCAGTTTCTTTCTTATTTCCAGTTGCTTCATGGACAGATGAATTCTACAGGACTTACTCTAGAATTTTAGGATTTTGTCTTATTTGGTTTCAATATTGAACACTACAACCAAATGCGGTCTAGTGGGAGTTTTGTTTTACATAGGTTTGCTCTGGAGTGTGGCTTAGTGGTGGAGAGCTCACCTGGCACACACAAGGCCCACTGCCTCCTCCCTAGCTCCACAAAAGAGAGAAGGAAAAAAAAAAGTGTGTCTTCAAAGACCGTGCACTTCACAACAGTAACCCTAACCTCCCCTGTTTCCTTCTGCTTTGTTTTCAACCCAGTCAACAAACACAAGCCGTGGCTGGAGCCCACCTACCATGGCATCGTCACCGAGAACGACAACACGGTGCTGCTTGATCCCCCGCTGATCGCCCTGGATAAAGATGCTCCTCTGCATTTTGCAGGTAGGCATGTGGGTCTCGTCCCTCTTGGCCAACCTGGACTGGAGGGGAGCTTCAGCACCTGTTAGGATGGCTCTGAGCATGTTTGGGAGTGTCTCGGTAGCTGAACCTGCCCTGGTTCTGAGGCGATGTGTTTTTCTCTTGGTAGTCACTACAAAAACCTGTTCTGGTTGTTGGAAAGCAAAATACTTAACTTCACTACAGCGTTACATGCCTCAGCTTGATGCAGCTGGGTGGATGGTGTCTGGACCCGTGGATCTCCAGCTGCAGCGGGCACAGTGGCTGAGGGTGGTGATGAGGAGCAGCCCTTGGGGGCCTTCTCACCCACTCCCTTGCCTATCAAGGCCCCAGAGACTCCCAGCCCAGCATTTCCTGAACCTAGATTTTAGTTACCTGTAAAGACTGAAAATGCTGAACGGTCTTGATGGAGACTTTTGCCCAGGTTCACTTTTAGTAGGCTCAGCTTGGGGTTCGTAAGGCTGTGGCCTACACCTGTACCTTCCTGGAGACACACCTCCAGGAGACTTCCATCCTGAGGCGGCGGTCCGTGCTGTTGACACTTGGTGGCACTTTCCAAATCAAAGCTGGCCTGAACTGGTGGAGGGACGTGCTGCCTCACCCTTTCTTGTCCTCAGAGTCGGAACGACATTGAGAAGTTAATGTTTAAAGGGCAGTTTTTACGTGACTTTCTGCAGATCAAAACTCCCTATTAAAGAGTGCTCTGTTTGCCTGGGCAAAACTAGGAGCAGTTGGATGTGCTCATTTAAATGTGTCACTCGTTAATTTGACTTGATTTATTTATTTAAAATTATCTTTTAAAAAAAATAATTTATTTGTTGGTATGTGGTGCTGAGGATCGAATCCATTGCCTCATACGTGCCAGGCAAGTGCTCTGCCACTGAGCCACAATCCCAGCCTGTTAATTTCACTTTAGCAAACTAAGGGACACGTGTGAGGTTGTTTCGGAAGCCCTGCTGGAGAAATGAACTTGCAGTTTGTTCTCTTCTGTGCCACTTCCATTGCAGAAGAACAGCCTGGGGCCAGCTTGTGCTGTGTGTGTCAGCATAGGGGACAGAGCAAGTTATGCTTGTCCACAGACCTGAGAGGAGGCCTTGGACACTCAAGCGCTTGTGTCCAGCAGCCGGGTGGTATTACATTGCTGGTTCCCCAAGTTGGAAGTCGTTTTCACATTGCCTGCTGGCCACGGTCAGTGTCCTATAGACCTGCGTGAGCATAGCCCGGGCATACCTGTGTGGTCACTGGTCTGTCCTTCCTCTGGAATGTGGCATGAGTGCCTCGTCCACCACCGTGTGGGGCCCGTGGAGCGTGGTCCACGTGTACTGATAGCACCTTTGCCCATACAGCATTTGTAATAGGATCCGTCCAGATGCTTTACAAGTAGGAATCAGTGCGGTGGTGCACACCTGTAATCCCAGTGGCTCGTGAGGCTGAGGCAGGAGGATCGCCAAGTTCAAAGCCCGCCTCAGGAATTTAGTGAGGTCCTAAGTAACTTAGGGAGACTCTGTCTCAAAACAAAGAGGGCTGGGGATGTGGCTCAGTGGTTAAGTACCCCTAGAATCAATCCCTAGTACCAAAAACTTCCCCCAAAACAAACAAAAAGAGTGGTAACCCTCCCCAGCCTGCAAGGTGGTACCCTTCTTTCTGACATTCCCATTTTTTAAATTTATTTTGGTGGGGGGGTGGGGGTGGGGGCGGTACCAGGGATTGAACTCAGGGGGCACTCAACCACTGAGGCACATCCCCATCTCTATCTCATATTTCATTAGAGACAGGGTCTCACTGAGTTGCTGAGCACTTCCCCCGTTGCTGAGGCTGGCTTTGAGCTCACAATCCTGTCTCAGCCTTGTGAGCTGCTGGAATTACAGATGAGTGCCACCCCGCCCTGCCTGGTCCTATTTTAAAGAGAGGAAACTGTGGCTCAGAGCAGTTAAGTTCCTAGCTGTGGGTCACACAGCTGGTGTGCTGCAGTCAGGACTCCAGCCCAGGGGGATGGCTCTTGGCCCGATGACGTAGCTGCATTTGTCGCTGCGGGAGGTCATAGGGAAGTAGGAAGTAAAATGGACATCCTGTGCCAGCTTTGAAGGAAAAGGTCACAGATGTGAAGCAATCACTTGGTTTTTTTCTTTCTCTTTGGATTTTATTGTATCACCTATCAAGCTGAATGTGTTATGGATGAAATAATACTTTTTGAGTTTGTTTTTGAGGATCCTCAGGATTTTAAAAATTGATGTATAAGAATTACATATTCGGATTTTAAAAAAACTACACAGAGAAGCAATTTAGACCCAAGCCACAGTTGTAGCTGGATTGTCTTTGCCATAGCAGACAAATAAGCCATTGTTTTCCCTCTGGAGGGTTTTTTGTTGTTGTTGTTTAATTTTTTTTTTCTTATTTGTAGTTGGACACATACCTTTGTTTTATTTATTTATTTTCATGTGGTGCTGAGGACCGAACCCCGGGCCTCACCGAGCTAGGCGCGCGCTCTGCGCTGAGCCCCGGCCCAGCCCTCCCTCTGGAGGTCTTCGTGGAGCAGTCCTCGTCTGTGTTCCTTCCTCGCCTCTCTTTTCTGGACACAAGATGTGTGTACTGTGGAAGCCACTCTTTGCTGTTGCCATCCATCCATTCGTTGTTGTTGTTGTTGTTTTGGGTACCGGGGATTGAGCCCAGGGGTGCTTTACCACTGGGACACATCCCCAGCCCTTTTTATTTTTTTATTTTAAGACAGCATCTTGGGCCGGGGCTGGGGCTCAGCGGTAGAGCACTCACCTAGCACGTGCGAGACCCCAGGTTCGATCCTCAGCACCACGTAAAAATAAATTTATAAAATAAAAAGGTATTGTGTCTATCTACAACTAAAAAAATTTTTTTTAAATAAATAAATTAAAAAAAAAAAAGACAGGGTCTTGCTCAGTTGCTGAGGCTGGCTTTGAACTTGTGACCCTCTTGCCTCAGCTTCCTGAGACACTGGAATTACAAACTTGTGTCACCGCTTCTGGCACATCCATTGGTTTTTTAGTATACGGTATTTACCAGACTGTTCAGCTGTCAACCAGCATCTCCTTCTAGAAGGTTTATTATTAATAGTGGAATCTTTTTAAAATATATTTTCAGGGGCTGGGGATGTGGCTCAAGCAGTAGCGTGCTCGCCTGGCATGCGTGCTGCCCGGGTTCGATCCTCAGCATCACATACAAACAAAGATGTTGTGTCCGCCGATAACTAAAAAATAAATATAAAAAAAAATATATATATATTTTCAGAGCCGAGTGCCATGGCATATGTTTGTAATCCCAGTTTTTGGGAGGCTAAGGTAGGATAATCTCAACTTTAAGGCCAGCCTCAGTAATTTAGTGAGAATCTGCCTCAAAATGAAAAATAAAAGGGGCTGGGGATGTGGCTCAGTGGTAGGGCACCCCTGGGTTCAATCCCAGTGCAGAAAAAAATAGCTAGGGGTGGTGGCACACACCTAAAATCCTAGCGGCTTGGGAGGCTGAGACAGAAGTATCGTGAGTTCAAAGCCAGCCTCAGCAACTTAGCAAGGTCCTAAGTTAACTCAGTGAGGCCCTGTTTCCAAATAAAATACAAAAATAGGGATGGGGATGGGGCTCAGTGGTTAAGTGCCCCAGGGTTCAATTCCTAAGTACCAAAAAAAGCCCCCCCAAACCATTTTCACTTAACATTGTTAGAAATATCTTTTCATCTTTCTACACAATTCTTTTTTAATTTTTCTTAGTTGTAGTTGAACACAATAACTTTATTTTATTTATTTATTTTTATGTGGTTCTGAGGATTGAACACAGTGCTTCATGCGTGTGAGGCAAGCGCTCTGCCGCTCAGCCCCAGCCCCAGCCCCTACACAGTTCTTTTTTTTTTTTTAATTTTTTTTAGTTATAGATGGACACAATATCTTTATTCATTTATATGTAGTGCTGAGGATCGAACCCAGGGCCTCACACTTGCGAGGCAAGTGCTCTACCTCTGAGCCACAACACCAGCCCCCCCTACACAGTTCTTAATATGGTTTCTTAAAAGGGTGTTTTGTGTGAGACAAGGCCAGGTTCAGTGCTGTACCTTGGCTCAGCTGGGTGTTTGTTGGCAGTGAAGCTGAGTGAGGCCTGTGATGAGGTGAGGGCTGACACCTGTGAGGGTTGACTGCGTGGCCGGGCATTCCAGGGGCTTCCTGAGAGCGACTTCATCAGGTTCTTGCTGGCAGCCTCGTGGGCTCGGCCCTCACCATTCCCATTTTCGAGATGAGCACAGTGGCTGGCAGTGGGCCTGTGGGCCTGACAGCTGGAGGCCACAGCCCACCCCTGGTGTCTGTGAGGGGCCCATGGGTGTGCCATAGCCACACGCTCACAGTCAGAGCTGCCTGGGGGTCCCCTAGCCTTGGGTCAGCTGCTGGCCCTGTGTTGTTGGCTTCCAAACCCTGCACCTGCTGGTGGCTTGTCCCATCCCTCCAGGGGATGCTGTGTGGGTAGCTGTGGGGATCCCCGGTCAGAGCCCGCAGCAGGCGCATGTGCAGTGTCGGGCGCCTCGTCGCAGAGCTGTGCCAGGCTCAGGATCACATACTGAGGGAGAATCGATCCCAGATTGTTTCTGTGGGGTGAGACTAAGGGAACAAAGTCTCGATGTTTGTCAAGTATTTTAGGACATTTAAATGACTTTCTCTATTTTTCTCTCCCCTTTCCTTAGTCTGCTAAAAGTCTGAGTAGATGTAAGAAAATTCATTTTACATTTCATGTACTTAATGGAGAGTTGAAGTGTGATCCATGTGTGCAGTCCTGGTGTTACTGTTCTGAAGTGACTGGCTCTGCTGGGTGTGGTGGCTGCATGACAGCAGGAGAAAATGGCCTGTAATCCCAGTGACTTGAGAGGCTGAGGCAGGAGGATCACAAGTTTATGGCCAGCCTTAGCAACTTAGTGAGATTGTCTCAAAAAAAAAAGCAGAATGCGTCTCAGTAGTTGAGCATCTGTGGGTTCAGTC